CAGTTTTAGAAGGTAAAGCAAAAAGCAAAGTGTGCTGCTTATATACTGCCCCATAGTGCTTCAAGCACTCTCTAGGCAGTTTACAAGTTAGTTATGCAAGCTACACATTGAAACACCTGGATTGCATCTACAACAGCTTGTGAACCCAGGACACGTGAGATGGACTATGTTACCCTTTATATTAGTTAGCATAGTTTCATTTCTTTATTTTTCTAGCTGGAGTGGGGGAGGAATTATCTGTGCCTTGTATTGAAAATGTACCAACTAAACATTTGGTTTCTTTACTTTAACAACTTTTATTAATAAAACAGTAATGATTGATTTCTATCTAGAAGCATTGTTTCTTGTTCAGACTAGCTGAGGAATATTAATTGGCCTTATATGTTCGCTACCAAAGATTTCTAGAGCCCAGATTAATCTGAGTATATCTCATGGTTATGTCTGTGTTGGCTATTTGGCTTATTAAAGGAGTGTGGCTTTTGGAGAAGAAGGAATAGACAAGACCCGGCTGAGATCCCCTGGGCTCTGCTCAGCAGTATTGTGGTTTGTCTGTCTTTCGGATCCATCCCATTCTCCGGAACCCCGCGAACGTCTCCTTGGAGATATGGGCGGTGTTTTCGCAGGTGTCCCTGCACAACATAGCCCATTGCTTTTCTGAATTCCTCAAGCCCCTTCACCATGACAAGGGAGCAATCCATGAAGGGGAGAATATACTAGTATCATACTAATATCGTGTTTCCCCTGTTGAGATAGTCCTGTCAGGTCTGGCTTCTTCAGTCTTCTAGCAGCTTTCTAAGCAGGTTTAAAATTTGGAGAATGGGTGGTGTCCCTGCACAACATAGCCCATTGCTTTTCTGAATTCCTCAAGCCCCTTCACCATGACAAGGGAGCAATCCATGAAGGGGAGAATATACTAGTATCATACTAATATCGTGTTTCCCCTGTTGAGATAGTCCTGTCAGGTCTGGCTTCTTCAGTCTTCTAGCAGCTTTCTAAGCAGGTTTAAAATTTGGAGAATGGGTATAGCTCTCAGGCACAGGTTTTTTAGTTTCATTATCCTGTCACTGTTTGACTTAACCCCAGAAGTAGGTGTGCAGATGCAAGCACAAAATAGGCAAGTCCTCAGTTACTTTGGAGAACTTGAAGATTCCACAGTCAAGTGTCTGCCTTAGATCCCATTTACCCCCATTTGTCCATAAATAAAGCAAATCTATCTTAGGCTGCTTTAGACTTTCCAGCAAGTCTTTTAAAAAGTTAGGGGAAAGCACAGCAGAAAACTCTGTTTGCTTACCGTGCCTGATGTTCTTGCACAGTGGAGTTGCTGCTTGATTGTGAGTATTTGCTTAGTAATGAGGCCATGAGGGTGTACAGCTTTCATCCAAAGTTGTAAAAGCAAATATGCTTCCACTAGATTCTAAGAGCTTGGGAGTTCACCAGAATGCAAACTGTAAATCTCTGGCCACATTTTGCACTTACTCTAGTAAGTAAGTAAGAGGAACCTGCATCTCTGTCTCGCTTGCCTTCCCTGGTGGCCTTTTGTCTCAAAGGAGAAGGCGATGGCCCGGCGCTGCCTCGGCCAACCTCTGCCTGAAGATAAGTTTTTACCATTGACTCGAGGGAGACTAGATAGGAAGAACACAATTCAGGGTTGCAGGTAAGCAATTCAGCTGTTTCTTCTCCCCTTTTCCTTGTCGTGTTGATAAAACAACAGGAATTCTGGAGGTTGTTTTGATTCCCTAAATGTTTGGCTTCAAAAGCTTCTTCAAGAGCTATTTAGAAGCTATTTAGAGGGAGCTTTTTTAAAAAAAAGACTTATGTATAAAAGGGTTGAATTAAAAAAAGAAGAGAAAAGCAAGGGAGAGAATGCTGCTGCCACACCCTACCAGAACCGGAACCACTATATCATATTTAAGTTCAAATATATATATACGCTAGGGAGCTAGCTTTCATTGTTTTATGGGATGAACTGCTTCCAAAAGCTCAGCTAATCTTTACCAGCGTGGTATTTTAATAGTACATCTTGTACCTCTTTTGAATATCTGATGTTTTACAACTTTTTAATCTTTTAAATAAACTTCATTGATCATGGCACTGGAAACCACAACTTACAAGTAAAGGCTGAAAGAATTGGGCATGTTCAGCCTTGTGAAAAGAAGACTGAGGGGAAATAGGATAGCACTTTTCAAATATTTGAATGGCTGTCATACAGCACAGGGACAAGATCTGTTCTTGATCATCCCAGAGTGCAGGACAGGCAACAATGGGCTCAAGTTAAAGGAAGCCAGGTTTTGGTTGAATGTCAGGAAAACATCCTAACTGTTAGAGCTGTATGACAGTGGAACCAATTACAGTGGTGCCTCGCACAACGATCGCTCCGTTTAGCGATGAAATCGCTTTGCAATGGACTTTTTCCCATCGCACGAGCGATCGTTTTGCGATGGCCCCTATGGGGAAAATTAGGTTTGTGATGATCGTGGGGGAGCGCTCCCCTACGATCATGGCAAAGGCCCTGCCGGTCAGCTGTTCCAAAAAACAGGCTTTGCGCTGCTCGTGGGGAAGCACTTCCCAGGGAGCAGCCCAAAGGTTCGCTTTTTGGAACAGCTGACGGGCAGGCGTTTGGGCTGCTCGCGGGGAAGCGCTTCTCCGGGAGAAGCCCAAATGCCCGCCCCTCAGCTCTTCTGAAAGGCAGGCGTTTCGGCTTCTCCCAGAGAAGGGCTTCTCTGGGAGCAGCCGAAACACCCGCCCCTCAGCTCTTCTGAAAGGCTGGCATTTCGGCTTCTCCCTGAGAAGCGCTTCTCTGGGAGAAGTCCAAAAGCCCGCCCCTCAGCTCTTCTGAAAGGCAGGCGTTTCGGCTTCTCCTGGAGAAGCGCTTCCCCCACCCTCCTGGCCAAGCGCTGGCTGGTCAGCCAGCCGAAAAAGCCGGCGTGAGCTTGGGAGGAGGGTGGGGGAACCTTCCCCCACCCTCCTGGCCAAGCGCTGGCTGGTCAGCCAGCCGAAAAAGCCGGCGTGAGCTTGGGAGGAGGGTGGGGGAACCTTCCCCCACCCTCCTGGCCAAGCGCTGGCTGGTCAGCCAGCCGAAAAAGCCGGCGTGAGCTTGGGAGGAGGGTGGGGGAACCTTCCCCCACCCTCCTGGCCAAGCGCTGGCTGGTCAGCCAGCCGAAAAAGCCGGCGTGAGCTTGGGAGGAGGGTGGGGGAACCTTCCCCCACCCTCCTGGCCAAGCGCTGGCTGGTCAGCCAGCCGAAAAAGCCGGCGTGAGCTTGGGAGGAGGGTGGGGGAGCCTTCCCCCGCCCTCCTGCCTGAGCGCCGGCCCCATTTTTGGCCAGCTGATCGGCAGCTCCAAAATGGCCGCCGCAACCATTTTCGCGCAATTTCCTCGCTTACCAAGGGTGCGAAAGTGGCAGCGCTATGGAGGATCTTTGCATAATGGTGGGTTTTCGCCCCATAGGAATGCATTAAACAAAGTTTAATGCGTTTCTATGGGGTTTTCCCACCCGCATTGCGATGTTTCAGGATAGCGACGATTAATCCCGAACGGATTAACGTCGCTATGCGGGGCACCACGGTACCTCAGAAGTTTTTGAGTGCGCCAACACTGGAGGCATTCAGGAAAAGCTTAGTCACCTGGCAGATATGGTTTGGTTGTATTCCTGATTAGGAATGAAGAGGATGTTCCTGACATCTCCCATCCTGCAACTGTGAGTTCCCCAGCCATGCTGTCAAAATGATAAAATAAATTGACTTTGAAGGGGGCCTCACGTTCCCTGTTCAGTGCTATCATATCAAAAAAGTACAGATGGGCCCAAATTAATTCTGACCTCACCAACAAAATTCATAACCTCTTCCGACCCTCTGGACAGGCTGGGCCAATCACATTTCATCATGCACCCCCAAGGTCCTTCTTAATTGGCATTCCAGTCTGCGAAGTGGCTCAGCCCTTCCCTGCCTCCTCTGTCAGCTGACCACTTTGATGAGGAAGCTAGCCAAGGATTGTCCCCATTGAGCTATTGATTGGTGGACTGCAGGAGGAGGCAGGGAAGGGCCAGCTGAGCTCCATTCTGGATCAACCCACTGGTGGACAAAGACCCCAGCAGTGAACGATGAGACATAATTGGCCCTGCTGGCCTGTGGGGTGTGGGAGTTTATGCGCCACACCGGTGATTCTGTTCCCATGAATTTTGTCAGTTGGGCCAAAATTAATTCAGGCCCATCTTTTAAAAAGAGTGTTATGAGGTCTCTCTCCTCAGACTTCTTTTCTCAAAACTGAACATGGCCAATCCTTTCAGTCTTTGTATGTTTGTCTTCAGTTCTTACTGCATTGCTTTCAAAGTGCTTGCAGAGTGTCTGTTTCATAATCGGCACAAGAATTTTCCCTGAGATTGAAGTGAGGCTGACAGGTCTGCAGTTCCCTGGTTCCACTTTTGGAAGATAGGACTCCTCTTTCATCTCTCTTTTCTTCTCCCAACAGGTCATGAAGAGGACAACTGGAATTCTATGTAGCCAGTTGTTCGTTCACTAAAAAAAAACTCACGTATGAAGCAGAAAAAAATTCTACGTTCTTAAAAGAAGGGAAAAGGGAAGAAGAGAAGTCAGAAAACAGGAGAGAAAAATAAATCTCCAGCTTCTGCTGTTGATGAAGATACACTTCTGACCATCTGAAAAAATCAACAGGGAACAGGAAGGAGAAAAGTTCCCTGGGCAGATAAATATTCAGGGGAACCTCAGATGACAATATGCTTTACACAGTTCACCCAGAGGAGAAATGAGTCAATCCATAGAACAAGGAAAGAGCATCATGATGCACAGTGATTTTACTTCACGTGAAAACTCCCTGAAAGGTGAGAGACTGTACAAATGCCTACAGTGTAGAAAGAGCTTCAGTCAAAGCTGTAGCATCAGTTTCCATGAAAGAACTCACATTGGGGAGAAACCATATAAATGCATGGAATGTGGAAAGAGTTTCAGTCAGAGAGTTCACCTGAGTTCACATGAAAGAATTCACACAGGGGAGAAACCATATAAGTGCATGGAATGTGGAAAGAGATTCAATCACAACAGTAACCTTAGTTCGCATCAAAGAATTCACACTGGGGAGAAACCATATAAATGTATGGAATGTGGAAAGTCATTTAGTCAGAGAGCTCACCTGAGTTCACATCAAAGAACTCACACAGGGGAGAATCCATATAAATGCATCGAATGTGGATTGAGCTTCAGTCGGAGCAATCAGCTGAATTCCCATCAAAGAATTCACACAGGAGAGAAACAATATAAATGCATGGAATGTAGAAAGAGCTTCAGTCACAGCAGTTCCCTGAGTTTACATCGAAAAACTCACACAGACGAAAAACCATATAAATGCATGGAATGTGGAAAGAGCTTCAGTCAGGGAGCTCACCTAAGTTCACATCAAAGAACTCACACTGGGGAGAAACCATATAAGTGCATGGAATGTGGAAAGAGTTTCAGTCAGAGAGCTCACCTGAGTTCACATGAAAGAACTCACACAGGGGAGAAACCATATAAGTGCACTGAATGTGGAAAGAGCTTCAATCGGAGCAGTCAGCTAAGTTCTCATCTAAGAACTCACACTGGGGAGAAACCGTATAAATGCATGAAATGTGAGAAGAGTTTCAGTCAAAACTATAGCCTTAGTTTACATCAGAGAACTCATACAGGGATAAAACCATATAAATGCATAGAATGTGGAAAGAGATTCAGTCACAACACTAACCTTAGTTCACATCAAAGAACTCACACTGGGGAAAAACCATATAAATGCATAAAATGTGGAAAGAGTTTCAGTCAGAGAGCTCACCTAAGTTCACATCAAAGAACTCACACAGGGGAGAAACCATATAAGTGCATGGAATGTGGAAAGATCTTCAGTCGAAGCAGTAACCTGAGATCACATCAGAGAACTCACACTGGGGAGAAACCATATAAATGCATGGAATGTGGAAAGAGTTTCAGTCAGAGCAATCACCTGAGGTCACATCAAAGAACTCACACAGGAGAGAAACGATATAAGTACATGGAATGTGGGAAAGCTTCACTCACAGAAGTCACCTGAGTTCACATCAAAGAACTCAAAATGGAGAGAAACCATATAAATACATGGAATGTGTTAAGTGCTTCAGTCAAAACCATAGACTTAGTTCACATCAGAGAACTCACACAGGGGAAAAACAGTGAATGTGGAAAGAGCTGCCATTACAGCTGTTGCCTTCATTTACATCAGTGGTTCTTAACCTTGGGTTACTCAGGTGTTTTTGAACTGAAACTCCCACACCACCAGCTGTGATGGCTGGGGTTTCTGGGAGTTGCAGTTCAAAAACACCTGAGTAACCCAAGGTTAAGAACCACTGATTTACATCATAGGACTCACTCTGATGAGAAATGATATAAATGAATGGAATGTGGCTGGAGAGGTGGGGCTTGTTGTGGTGTTGCCAGAATCTCCCAGAGAAGCTTCTAGGTGAAGCTGGAACTGCCCAGTCTTGGAGTCCTTCAGGAGATGAAGAGCCAAAGGGCCTTAAGCATTTGCTGAGCAACAGAGGGGAAGGAAGCCGGAGCAGCAACCTGGTATTTCTTCCCTCTGAAGAAATCACCTGAGGACAGATCGGATGCCAGAGCCATCTTGGGCAGTTAAGCTGTGAGTAACCCAGCCCCTATGGAGGAGAGGAGAACAAACAGATACTCTGTTGAAAATTGACAACAATAAAGAAAATTGAAGCCTTTGATTTGTGAACAGCCCCATAAAGTGAAAAGAGAAACTAGAGTGCAGAATATTTGGCTGAAGGGAAGAGGTGGCTAGCTTGCTTACCGGTCTTGCTGTCTCAGAAAGTGAAACTAACTTCTAACTTGCAGATTGGTCAAGGCTGAACACTGAGAAACTGAGAGAAAAAAGCATTCTGGAAATAATCCCAGGGTGACATAATACAACTACAGGCTGGACTTAAAGCTGTTATCAGTCAGGAAAACAGTGTGAAAAACATAACATGACGCTGCCAGATTTCTCAACAGTATAGGCAGAGCTCCTCAAAACTTTGGAACTTTATAATATCCGGGGGGGTGATCCCCCTCAGAGGCTACGGCTGTAAAGGGCTATATTATATATTGGAAGATGCTAACTCATTCCAAGGGGAGAGATATTGTCGCAAAGGGTGGACTGTGGAACTGGGAAAACCAGGACTGGAGTGGTTGACTGGATTCATGGATTAATAGAAAGAGCATACGGTGGATTATAAGGACACCTATTGGAGGAAAAACTGAATTACAACCTCAACACACCTCTCATATTGCCTAAGGAGCAGGTTGGATTACAAATATATCTGATTTGATATATTGAAAGCCTTTTGGGATTCCGGAACATGGCACTGAGGTTGGAATTGTACAAATATTGAGGTGGGAAAGCCTGAAGTTTTTCCTAGCTTTGATCTGATATGTGGAACGCTGCTTAAGACTCTGGAATATCATATTGAGGTGAACTGTACAAATATTGAGGTCTAAAAGCATGAGACCTTTGTTAGCTTTGGCCTTCTCTTTGGATTGTGTGGGATTCTGGTAACAGAGTTCAAGAGACATAATAACTCCACTAGGCTTCTTGAGAAGAAGGACCATTTTTGCCATGGTTGTATTTTAAACTGTTGGGCTATAAGCTGATTTACATATCAGAATACCTGTGTAAGAATTGGAGGAAGAACCTGGGGGAGGGTTTGGGTTGTTGGTTTTGGTTGTTGGTTAAAACAGTGGAAACATCTGAAAGAGCATGTGGTATATTTCAGGGTTAGACATTCTGGTGAAGGATATGGTATAAGTTGTACAAAGTCCATTCAGAGACAGCGGTAGGAAAAACTGAGATATTGAGATTGAAAAGATCGAAATGGCTTCCTAAAAACCAAAGCCCCCAAATGCCAGGAACCTCTCCTTTTTTTAAAAGTTTATTTTCAAAACTATTAAGGGTAGGGTAAGGAATACAGAAGGTAAAGGGTGGTGGAAGGGGGGGAAAAAGGGATTTGAGGATAAGAGAACATCAAATATATAATCATTCAATCTTTTCATATTAAGTATATAAGCATATAACCTATTCATATTCCAATAAGAGCTCATCTTTCTACTCCTTTTTTAAAACTATTTGTTAATCTCCCTAGCTTTCAACTTGCAATTATATTATAGTTTAAATCTAAGTTAATCCAACACCATCAGAACACCAAGACCAGTTGTAAGATACATCCCCTCTTTCACCCACCTTATGTCTTAGAAATACATTCGACAGGCCTAACATAGTATATATTCCATTCACTTCTCCCATTTTCTCAATGTGTTTCTTTTGTTTCTGTGACTCTGTTTTTTTCCATATTTTGAAAGGGAAAGCCACATCCAGAGCAATAGTTCGATTTTTAACTTCAGTTTTTCTAGCTGCTATAGCTACATAGCTTACTGGGTGACACATCATCCCCTTTATATTATCTGGTATTGCCCTCAGTACACACAGTTCTGGCATTTCTTTTAACTGTGGTTTAACATCTGCTATTTTCTATTCCTTAAAATCTTTGATTAAGTCTTTGATCTGATTAAGATGCTCATTTAGCTGCTTAAATCCTGTCAACATTGTCATTTGAAAAGTAACTTGCCACTCTTTATCTGACCAAGTCTCTGACCGTTGATCCCCGTTGTCCCGGGGAGCAGTTCCATCTTTCCAGTATATATGATCTGTATATATAACACTCTTTAGTTTCCACTATTTTATCAACAAACCAAACCCTCACCTGATACTTCCTCACCCCCTTACCCAGATATATATAATGCATAAATCAACCTCTGGTCCAATGTATTAAATTACAACTATGGCAATATTGTCAGAGAATAACAGGAAAACTCAAACAAGAAGTCAAGCACAGGAAATGAGTCTCTCAAATGTTTTTATATTCCGTCCGACTCTGGCTCCTGTCCAGGTTTTGTGAGCTGCTCAATTCAGTCCTTTCTCTCGCTGTTGATTTCCAGACCATTTCTGTTTCTTTTTCTTTTTTGCTTCCCAGAATTTATTCCATCTTCACCCGGCAAGGCTGTGTTAGCAGAGTGCCATTTATCAAAGTCCTCAGTTTGTTCAGTTCAGATTGTAAGGCTCTCAGATCACAGTCTTTCTTTTTTTAACTTCCAAAGGCTTATTCTGCCTTCCCCAGAAAAGGGGACCGGGCTCAGTTTTTTAATCAGAGTCCCACACAAAATAGAAGAGGAAGAAAAAGGTCCAAAGTGCACAGCTTTCACCAAGTTTTAGTCCCTTAAAGCCTGTCTAGTGTTAATTTATCCTGGATTTTTTTTTATAAAGGCACGAGCTATTTCTGTCTGACTGTTCCCTCAGTTCGACCTTGAATCAGTTTTCTGAACACAGATCTAGTTTCCTTTCATTTTGAAGCACGAGCTGACATGCTAAGTCATGCTTGTAAGCTGCCCCAAGGAGATATGGTCTAGAGGGGCGGGATATAAATTTAATTAATAAATAAATAAGTATGCCGCTTCTATCTCTTTTCGGTCATAAATTTTCACACTCACTTGTTCTTCATTTTAATGGGGTTTTTCATAGAACAAGGGCTTCCACTTACTTTGTTGTATATTTTCGCCGTGCTTCTTGTTCTCTTATCCTCGGCGACAGAGCTGTCCTGGCTGGTTGCCAAAATTGGCTTCCCGTCTTCGGTTTGTGCTTGTGTGAATTTTCAGAAGGAAAAAAAATCGAGTTGCTGCCCAACCTTCTACCTTCTGTGGCTCACCATCTGCTCCAGAAAGGTCTCTCCTGACCTCCCCTTCGATTCCCCCATTTCTAGGGGAATCCCAGGCCGAGCGGTTCTAGCTTCCCTGGGAGCTATTCCCAGCAGCTGCTGGCTTCACCATGACGAAGCTCCTCCTCTCCTTTTTTGGAAATATCTTTAATTTTTCTTTCATCAAACTGCATTTTTCCTGTTTCATCTTTAATTAGTCCAATTATATTTTTGATCTTTTTGTTTGAGTTAACCTTGCCAAAAACTTTGAGTTCTTATTACTATATTTTTTTAAAAAATCTCTTTAAATACATCAAATAAACTTTGTCTAATTCAACACTTTCTCACTCTTTTCTTTTAGCTTGAATCTCTTGTAATTTCTTATTATCTCTATCTATAAAATATTTACTTTCTAAATCTTTCATTGTTTCTTCCAGTTTTTTTAATATTTTATTTTCTTAATTTTTTTTGTTTACATCATTCCCTTATGGTAATGTCTCTCATGATTGCTTTAATAGTGTCCCATATCACTCCTGTTTTGGTTCCTCCCACTTCATTTATTGTCCATATTTCCATCAATTCTTTCTTTACCCTATCTGTTACATCTGTATGTTGGAAAATCATCATCATAGGCATCCTTCAGTCTCGAGAGACCATGGTAACATGCTCTGAATCGAGGAGTGTCCGCTCCAGAGCATGAAGCCCGGGTAAGGTAATATGGAGGATAGGCTGTTACCCAAGCAGCAGATCCCCCCTCTCCACATTGCTGAAATGGTCCAATGGAAAGGCAAGAGCCAATACAACTGGTTCCAGCAATGTCGCAGGAGTTGGCAGAACGACACATGCTGCCTTCGGGACTCCAGCTCCGGATTTTGCCTCGAGGTTAACTCCTGAAGCCTTTTCCATGAGTGGATATAGCCACAAGGCAGTGGAGGTTTGAAATTGGAGTTTTCCTTCTCCTGGATGGGCTGCCTTCCATGGCTGACGAGCCCCACCTACCCGGCCTGCTCTTTAATAGTGCAAAAGTATGATCTGATCCTTAAAACTTTCCTGACTACCCGGCTTATGCAAATCTCATTGGCTTTCCTATTTACCATATTAAGGCCAGATATAAAATTTGAGAATTTTGGTCTAGATGGGCTCGCGGTCCTGGAACACACAAAATACTGATATCTATTTTCCATCTTTTTGCTTCCCTATAGTCTTTTTAGTCCTCATCTCTATCGACATCAATGCATGATCAGTTATTTTTATTAAATTAATATCAGTATCTCTTTTTTTGAGATTAGATTTTGACATACAAATATAAAATCTATTCTAGAATAGCTACTTACAGAATAATAATAAATACAGTGGTGCCCCGCATAGCGACGATAATCCATGCTGAAAAAATC